GGGTATGGGGGTCTGGGTGGGGTTATTGGGGGTTCTGGACCGGGGTGACGACAACCCCGACCTGTAGGTGCTGACCAGTCAAGGGCACCGACCGTCGGGGTATGCAACACTGCTGACCAGTTCACAATGGACCTGATCTTCTCCAACATCCGGTTGTTGATATGGACGGATTGACGAAGAGCTACCAGGCTAGAGGATCGGATGAAAGGAATCAGGAAGATAATGTCCACATTGGGCTGCAAAAGAAGATTTGTGCAGAGGTCGGGGAACGGTATCAGCCTGGCCCCGTGGTTGCCGGGGCCTAGACCGGCTTGAACTGGACATTTGACGCCTCACCTTCTCTTTCAGGCTTAGGCCGTTTGAGACACACTGCATTGCAGATGGAATTTACATGAACAGAAGAATGATAATTCACCAGTACGCTGAGGTTACCTGTTTTATTCCTATCAAACAGCATACGGACAACATTTCTGGTTTCACTCCAACAGTATAAACTACTGTAGGTTTCTGATTTTTTATTTATTTTTTTCCTGGCGACCGGCAGAGGTTGAATAGGTCTGATTCTGTCTGTCTGTTTTAATTCCTTATATGAATTTGTAAGGGACGCTGGACCCGATTTCTGGCAGAAGTGCTGCTCCCCAGGAATAGATCGGAGCCATCGGAGCCATCCAGCTGCCAGACTGAGCAGACTCTACTCCTGGGGCCTCTTACTACGCCAATAACAGAGTTCTGGCCACCAATAATGTGAAGAAAAAAAAAAAAAGTTCACTGTTGAGTTTATTTTTCTGCATAACATAGTTTTCTAAACTTTTTTAAAGTTCTTTTCAGTTTTTCTTTGTTTTTGTTGCTGGGACTTTCCCTGGCCCTTGCCCGGCTGTGCCGCCCAGGCAACCAAGGTGACCCAGGCCGCAAGGTTGACAGCCCACGCCCCAGGTTAACGCCATTTATTAAATTTTATTTACTTGACTATTTTTTGTTCTCAAGCCTTGCAAAATCAAAAAAACAAAACAAAAAAAAAAACTTTGAAAAGTGAAAACGGCAAGGACAGCTTTGTCGTCTCTCTCTCCGATATGTTCTCTTGGAATAAAAAAGTGGCCCATTACACATGCTCCACCAAAACTCAGCTTTGTCTATTATCCGCCCCCCCTCTTTTTCTTTTCCGGTTTCTCTCGCTTGGACAGCTTTGGCCAAAGTCCAAAGTTCTCCAAACCAATGCATTTCACACTTGCATGTTCATGGATGCAACTGGCCATAGTAATGGTCAGGTTCAGTCGTCAAAATAGCATTAGGCTGCTAGCAATACTGTGCCCTCAATTCTTCTCCCCCCCCCCCCCCCCCCCCCCCCCGCCCCTCCCCCTCTCCACCCTGCGGGCTCCTTTCTTCTCTTCCTTTTTCCTTTTTCCTTTTTCGCCATTCTCTTCCTTCTTCCCATTTTTGCCATTCTCACTTACTCTGTTTTCCTGGTCTCCCCACCAAAACTCTCGTTACGCTGTACCTGGACACAGGACCTCAACCCTGGACACTTCTTTGTAGTTTATATATATATATATATATATAAAAAAAACCACCACAAGCACAACGACAACAATTAACTTGCTTGAACTGGGAGCATTGGGTGACTTTGTCTTACCTCAACATTTTCATCTGATTCATGAAAAAGAATGGCGGCGATGGGACTCGCATAACTATCAAGATCAATGAATGACATCAACACCAAATCTGGACTCAATACCGATCCAGGAGAGAATAGAAGACTGTCAAGTATGGCGTCGAGTAATCTCAGCTCCAGTCTTTTCTCCATGTCCAGTGCAAAGCTGTTGTCAAGAACCCAGACGTACCCGTACAGGCCATGGGGGACCACATTCCTGTAGAAGGCTATGTTGGATATGCGTGCCAAGCCATTCATCGGGATAGGTTGAAGGCGTCCGTTGTTTTGAACAACTTCATTCAACGTAAAATTGGACAGTAGACCTGAGAGCGAAAAAAAAAAAAAAAAGCAGGTAAGAAAATTAAGTTAATTAACACTTTGCAGCACAAAGATGAGTCCAATAATGCAATCAGACTCGCTTTCTTTCACTCATCACATGCATGCAAACTGGCGACAAGCGCCCACTCAGAACTCGGAGGTATGGTAACCAAGAACACCACTCAAATACAAGTTCACTTCAGATGGCTAAGGCGGCACAGCGCCTGTACAACGCTCTGTTCGCACACAGAGGATCACCCTGGATATCCCACACGCGATACTCTGTACACATACCCACACACACACTGCACGCTTTCTACAGCTATGGCGGCTATGGCCGCTGCGACCCTATCGCTATGGCTAAGCTCCTTCTCTCTCGCCCACTTCGTCTTCGGGCTCACTGCAGACCACCTCGCACAAGTCGCTGTGGCAGCGCTTCCGCATGGCTCACGCAGGAATGAATGAATCGCTGGACGGTGCCCTTTGATTTATACTTCTGTAGCTCGCTGGTCTGGCCCTTTCCCATGCCCGTGGTGCACACAGTCCCATGCGGTACTTGCTTGACTGGACTAGGACTGACTGGGACTGCTGACTCAGCACGGGTAGACTCCCCCACTTGCCCACTTGCCTCAGCCTAAACGTGAGCAACATCGAAAGGCCACTGCTAGGACCTTCCGAAAGGCCGTGGACTTGGCCTTTCGATACCGTAGCAGCTACGACCTTGACCTTTCGGAGAAGCTATAGCTACGACTTCTAGACTTTGCTAAGACTCCTACCCGACAGGTCTACAGATCGACCCCTTGCTACCTACGGACCCTACGGCAGTCTACCAATTGTTACGAATACACAGGTCACGGGTTCAACTCTCGGGGTCAACACAAATACTGTACACAAGGAAAGGTGATGACTGGGGATCGAGCCCTGGGATCCGCATCGGCTACTGCAATCAGGTGAATACCGTTTCAATAATAACTACAGGCAAATAACGTCATGCATCTTCGTGATTGCATCCGGTCTCAATTGTTGACCACGTCCTGGGCAACGACCATTTTCCTACGGAGTTATGGGTCAACGGGTCACAGTATGAGTTTGAAAGTCCTACAGAATTCAAACACACTCTGAGAACAAAAAAAACAAAAAACAAGCACGGGGGAACGATGAAAATCATGAAAAATTGAAAATGATGAAAATGACGAAAATGATGAAAATGATGGAAATGATGAAAATGATCTGCATAAGACTGCATTGTCTTTTTTTTTTTTTTTTTTTTTCCAGACTCATGTTCAAGCTTCAAACATACTTTTCTCTTCTTCTTTTTTCTTTTCTTTTTCTAAGGTTCCGACAGACCTCTTTTTTTTTCCTTTCTCTAACTCATGTTCGAGTCTCAAGCTTATGATATGGGCGCTCGGCCGGCTACAGAGGCCGGATTTCTTATCACTCTGAAAGTCGAACTTCGGCGCAGGGGTTTTCCGGATGAAATCTTCGATAAGGCCCTTGTCATTTCAACGTGAAGATTGGGGGGGCCTGGACAACTTGGGTCCGCTGTTTTACAAGTTGGGTCTGGGACAGCCGGGTTTCCATCAGTACAGGAGCGGCACTTGGGATATCGGCTTGATTCGGTTTCTTTCTCTAGGTAGGCAGTACTACTGTCGAAGTATATAGTTTTTGTTTGACGAGCATTCAGTCAGCAGCGCTACCCCTGATGATGGCCGGTACCCTGGCGGACCGGCCGAAACAGCTGTAGGGTAATCGCCAGCACGACTTTATGTTGCTGTGCTTGCACCGCCTTTTGGGTTTCAGCGCCTTGTTTCTGGTCAGCTTTTTTGCATAATTTTACGAGCGGACACGCTCAGGGGACTTTGCACATCTTCTTCTATGGCGGCCAATGACGTAAAGTTGGTGGTGGGGTAAGGCAGAAGAGGGAGGGCGGGCGTCACAAAGAGGGGAGGAGGAGGGAGGCAATGGCCGCCGCAAGCAGAAACGAAAAAGAAGAAGAAGAGGAAGAAGAAAAAACGAAGAAGAAGAAGAAGAAGAAGAAGAAGAAGAAGAAGAAGAAGAAGAAACGACGGGAAGGCAGCACGGCAGTATTCGCGAAAGTAGATGGGAAGAAAAAGAAGAAGAAGAAGCAGAAGAAATGAAGAAGAAGAAAAAATATTAAGAAGGACAAGAAGATGAGAAAAAAAAAAAAAAAACGGAAGTCGACGAGAAGAAGAAGAAGAAGAAGAAACATGCAACTTACCTCGAAGTTCGACCCTTCGTGGAGATGGCGTGCGGCAGACGACGATGGCGCGGCAGCATGAGGATGAGGATGGCGCGGCAGCAGGGGGACGACGATGGCGCGGCAGCAGGACGACGACGATGGCAGCAGCAGGACGGCGACGATGGCACAACGGGAGGGCGACGACGTCACTGGCGCCTGGCGGAGGGCGGGAGGGTGGAGGGCAGAGGGTGGAGGGGCAACGGGGGGGGCAGATCGGCCCAGGATTCAAATTCGAATCCTGGGAGTTACGATCGCCGTTGATCGCCGACGACCGATGGCTAATAGTGAACGAGACAAAATCTTCAAAAAAAGGCCCTACTGGGCGCCAAAAAATAGTGCGCCGGCCGCCAAAAAATTTTTTGGCCTGTCAGCCAACCAGCGGCAGCACAAAAAAAAAATTTTGCGGCCATTTTGGGTACGGCGCTGAGGGGGCCCGGGTGCCTGGCCGGGGGGGTTGCACGGCCGAGCGCCCCAAGCGTCATTCCGGGCAGGCTCGGGTACCCCGGGCGCCTGGGGGGGGAAAGCTAGCTTCTCACTAAACATCAATACAAAAAATGGACATTCAAACAGACTAGCTAAGTGCGGGCAGTGCGGGCTACGGCCGCAGAAATAACAAACGCAGTGGGTGACCTCACACCAAGGCTGCAAACCCGGTAGGTCCGGGGGACCCTCCCCCAACCGGAACTGGACCAGTCCTACCGGCCGGTCGACCAGTCCGGTTTCCCCTCCGTTGGCCGTACAGCATCTTTCTTCTTTTGTTTTGTTTTTTTTGTTTTTGAAGGCCGAGGGTGTTGTAGAGGCCAAGGACTAGACCCCCAGTGATTGTTGGCAGCGGCAGCCAGTGGTTGTGCTGACAGGATAGGCCGCCTTCCCTACCCCTCCCCGCGTTAATGCTCCCAGCGCACCCCCTATCCCTACTATCCTACTTCAGTGTGACCAGCACTCAGGACCGTCACCCTACCAGTATCGAGGGCAACTTGGACCAGACAGTAGTGACAAGCCCCCCCTAACACTATCACCTCCACCCCCACATCCTGCCACTAACACCTCCAGCCCCCTTTTCAAAGTTTTTGGGCGGAAGGTTAACGCTTGTGGAAAGCCAGGCACGTTGTTGTCAATGTCTGCTGAAGCCTGTGGTTGCTGAAACCCCTCCACCAACACCCTCACCATAACCCCCCCAACCCCCAACCCTCAACCCCTGAAATACACCCCCCCCAAAACCCCCAAACGAAACTTCTCTGTTCACAGTTTTGTTTGCGGATTCGGGGAGATCTCGGCGAGCGCAGTCCAACCATGTTTTAAAAAAAAAAATAAAAAAAAAATTGCCCCACTTTTGGACCCAACCGGAATTCCGGTTGGACCACCGGGGGTCCAACCGGCCTGGTTGGATCCGGCCCGGTCCAACCGGCCGGTTGCCGGCACAGCCATGCCTCACACTGCATTTCAGATGGCTCGCCTCCATGATGTTTGTCCGCAGAAACAACGATGGCCTACCAGAGGGCACACAACGACAGCCACGCGAGAAATGAAAAAAGGAGAAGGGGGACACAAAACGACAGCCAGCTGGGGAAAATAAAACAAAAACAAAGCCCCCCGCATATCGGATGGCTCGCCTCCAAGATGTTCATCCGCATCAACGCCAGCCGTGTGCCCCGTTCTCGGGGCACGCACTCTTGTTTAATGGCACGCTGTGAACATTTCGGTATGCGCAGCCCTCTGCACACTCCCCTGGCCTCGATCGCCTTCATCTGCCATCCCTCACCAAAACTTCGACCCGAATCCGGTGCGCACCGCGGCATGGACCTCCCCCCCCAAGCCAATGCTGCTCAAGGGGTAGGATTTTGAGAACAACAGGATGGAAACCGTTTTTTCTTTTTCTTTTTTTGTTTGAGATTGCTGGAGGTTCTCTCTCTCTCTCTCTCTCTCTCTCTCTCTCTCTCTCTCTCTCTCTCTCTCTCTCTCTCTCTCTCTCTCTCTCT